GCACAGGGACCACGATTTGATCCCCAGCACAACATGCTGGGCCATTCCAGCCTCCAGGGTGAGTTGAGGTGAGTTGAGCAGGCCAGGAGAAAAAAAGAAGGAAAGAAGGGAGGAAGGAAGGAAGGAAGGAAGGAAGGAAGGAGAGAGAGAGAGAGAGAGAGAGAGAGAGAGAGAGAGAGAGAGAGATTAGATAGGGCTAAGTATACTCTTTAGAGAGTGCTCCAGGTTTATGGAGTATTATTTGTGGTGATGAAAAAAGTTCATTTCATGTTCCAGAGAACAGAGTAAACAGGCAAATGTGTAACACAGAGAAAGAGATGGGATTGGGCCAGCGAGATAGCTTAGTGGATTGAGCACCTGCCTATGCAGCCACAAGGACTGGGATTCAATCCCTGGTACCACATGCTGGGCCAGCCCCACCCCCAGGCACGCTGTGTGGGCCCCAGAACCTGGTGTGGTGGCTCACGCCTGTAATCCCAGCACTGAGGAGACTGAAAACAGGAATATCACTATGAGAACGAGCTGCCTAGTGAAACTCTATACCACATACGAGAGAGAGAGAGAGAGAGAGAGAGAGAGAGAGAGAGAGAGAGATGGGATTTAGAGAATGGAGTCACAGTGTCCTCAAAGAGACTGAGAGGAGAAAAAGCACACTGTGTGGAGGTCCAGGCAGTTACTGTAATTCCAGGTGACACTTGGAACATCTGAAGAGCAGGAAGGAAAGTTGGAAAGGGAGAAATGAGCGACAGACAGCTGAGGTGAGGAGATAAAAGCTGCAGCATAAAATAACACAAAGGTGAGAGGCTTGCTCATGACCTAGAAGGTGCCTTGATGACCTCAGCGCTGCACACAGAAGGATGCTGCAAGCTGCCCTTGCACACCGTGACACGCCCCCATAACAGTCCAGTTGGTTCTGTGGTGAGGTAGGGAGAGTCTCATCTGTCTTCTCCTTTCTCGATGTTTCCAAGATCCACTTCTTCTCAGGCTCATGGTCCTGCCTCAGCCTAGATGGATGCATCTGACCCTAGCTGGCTCTGCAACGCTAGGCTTTGCCCTCACCGACTTCCATCTGTGATTTTCAAACTAACCTTAAGTGTTTCTTTCTGCGTAACCTTCTCTTACTAATAAAGAAAATAAATAGGCTCTTTTGTCAATAAAAACATCGCAAAAGCCCTCTAATAATCTCAGAAGCTTTTATCCTGGTATTTTCTCTGGAATTAGTTATCTCCCCCAGTTTTAAAGCTGACATCAAATATATTGCCAGGTAGGATTTATAGAGTTTAATAAAAGTATTTCTTGGATTCCTCTCAGTTGAATCTATAACTATTTCTCAGTTCAAAAAGTCATATTGTGGTTGTCCTGTTCACTTGACTGAGAATCCATACATTTTATTTCTGTGTTTAAAAGAAATATCCAATATTAGCAGATTTTTTCAAAACCTCTCTTGTACAAGTATCATTTTATTTCCTCTGAGAATAAATATTTTGAGTATGAATTTTTATCCATTTTATTTCTTTTAATTTCTCATCTACTTCACCTTCCTAGAAAAATTACTTGATGATGCCTTTGGGATAAACCTTTGTATAATCCTTTTATCTAAAAAATGATGTATAATTCCCCTAAACTTTATTGGATTGAGCTAATAGCTGCTATGTAAGCAGAATTGGTCTTCTATATTAAGGCCATTTTTTTGTGTTAAATTTTCTTTGGCTTTGGAGATCAACTTGTGGGGATGGGCCTTGCTTTAAAGGTATGATTATGGTATCTTGTTTTTATGGTCATTCCTTTACTTTGTCTTTAACAGCAGCTCAATTTATCAAGATACATACAATAAAACATTTACACTCATGCAACTGAGCCCTTCAGCTTTGCCTCTTCCCTCTCTTAACTCTAATTTATATAAAATAATCCAAAATTTTTTCTATATATTGGGAATAATAAGACAGTTATTATTAATAATAGTGATTATTAGTTGTTAATAATAGTTATTAATAGCTAATAGAGATATGATTATATTTATTATTAACACTAAGAAGTTGATATAGAGTAAAATACAGAAAACTAGCAAATTCTGCCCCTCCAGGCCATGGCTCCTCCTAATGCTCCAGGAAACAAACATTAAGAGTACAAAGCAAGCCAGAGGGGCCCAACCAGGTGCTCCTTCTTGGGCCTTTTCAACACCACAACTTTGTAGATTAGGAGGCTGCAAATGGGAGCCACACAGGAGAGCACCAGCACCCCACTGCTTTGCAAGGATGTGGAGCTGCACATTTCCAAGGATCATTAGATAATACAGATCAGGGCCAGAGAGATAACTCAGAAGACTAAGCACCTGCTTACGCAAGCACAGGGATCTAGATTCAGTCCCCAGCACCACATGCCACATCGGCCCTGCCCCTGGGTGCACTGAGCTGGCCACGGTGTCTGGGCGTGGTAGTGCACACCTGCAAATCCGGTGCTGGGGAGGCTGAAAACAGGAGAATCATCACTACAAATCTGAGCTGCATAGTGAGACCCTGTGCCAAATACATAAACAACACAGATTATTAGATTCCAGAAATGATTATAATAATTCCATACTATTTTAGGAAGAAAACTCGGATATACTTTCAACAATCGGAACTTTCACAATGTGTCATTGGGGCAAGGACAGGAGGTTGTGGCTGAGGCGGCACTGGACCTGGCTGCCAAGCACGGCCACTGGGTTATTCTCCAGGTATGTGCCCTCTGCCCTGATCTTGGGTACTCCTCATGCCTTGTCTACTTGGCTTCACCTTAGAATCTTTGTGCACTCCCACCTGTCACACAGCCTGTCCCTCATGGCCCTGCCTGCTTCCCATCCTTAGCTTCTTTCTTCCCAGAACTCCTTATTCACACATCCTCTTCCCCTGTCCACTCCAGTCACTCTTCTTCCCACTCACCTGCTCTATTCTCTTTGTGATGTAAGTAGATCTACCCATGAAAGGAGATGGCTTCCACTTTGATGCCCGTTCAAGAAGGTGGTTGGGCCCATAGCCATGCATCCTTGTAGCTTCCGTCCTAACAGTGTTGTGGGCTTTCCTCTGCTGTGCTTTTCTACTGTGTTATATCTTTGGGGTTACATGTGTAATGGAAACACAGAAGCCACTCCAACCTCTTCACTGAAAAGTCATATTGATGTTTGGAGAACTGGAACATCCACTGATGGTAATTTCTCCAAACAGTTACAAGAGGGGAAAAGTCACAAGCCTTTTTACAGAGCCTGGTTCCTTCATCATCCTGCATGCAACTTGCACGGGGCTATGGCAGACTAAGTGGCTTTCTCCTCTTGTCTCTGATAGCACTCTGCAATCACTTCTATCCGAGTGTCACTCATTGCTGTGTTGACATGATTTGTTACACGATTTATCCTTCACTAGATTTCCTTAGTGATGCTCCTTATTCACCTTTTCTCATCAGACTCACTACCTTACACCTGATAGATGCTCAATAAAAGCCTATTGGACCCAAGGGCTGGGACATGCCTATAATCCTAGCGTATTCAAGGAACAGGGAGATTGCAAGTTCCAGGTCAGCTTGGGCAATTTACTGAGACTCTCACTAAGGGATAAAGATTAATTTAAAAGCAACTGGAGGTGTAGCATAATAGTAGAGCATTTCTCTAGCATGTCTGAAGCCCTGGATTCAATCTTCAGTACTAAAAGAAAAAAAAAAACTACTGGCTAACAGAATCAACAAAGAAATTAAAGAAAGATTAAGTGAAAAACTCAGTCATTCTCATCTCAAACTGACTTTTCATTACCAAGAATTTTGTCTCCCGATTACTCATTGCACCACATCTTACTGTTGAATCTTATCCTTAATTATTTTGTTGTAAGCCTAGCAACGAAGGGATCTTTGGTTCCCTGGGACTACTTTTCAGGAAGCAGCAGAAATCCCAAGAGCAAAGACAGCATCAGTTGGATTCCCTGCTTTCTCCCACAGGCTCGCAGCTGTGGCCCCAACCCCATGCTAGGCACTAGTGTCTTGGGGGACTAGCCACTCTGCCTGGACATTGGAGCATTTCTGGCACTGTGGTCCTGGCTCTCAAGGGCCCACGCAGTGAGTAGAGTTTCCGCCCATAGCACATGCTGACCACCCAGGAACCCCACATTTTCTGCTGATGTGGCTTCTGAGGGCTCTTACAGATTTAGTTCAAAGGTGCCTCTTTAGTTCCCAGTGATGAGGCATTTTCATGGATAGCTGTTCTGATGAGCACCACACAATCTGGATCCCTTCCTATCCTCCTGAGTGAAGCATCTGATTGTGCAATAGATAAGATCTGTCCACACTTCACTGACAGATGTAAAAGATCTCTGCTCTGCTCATTCGTGATATCACCTGAGACTTGTGGCTGCCTTGTTTTTTAAGAATTACTTGATATGCTGAACTAGACGGAAGTGGAATCTTATGAAACAGTGTTTCTAGGCCTAAGAACCTGAGAGTCTGGGGGGGAGGAAAACCAAAATTCATACTATGCCTTTTTCAAGATTTTCAATGATCTCCATAAGTGTATGGCTCTGAGAATCCTGTGATATAAATATCTCATTCAATCCAGACTTTCCCAACTGGATCTAACATCTGTTACAGAACCCCGTGGCACACTTGGTGAAAACCTGTAGAAGGACCCTCATGAGAAAGATGTTTCTCATAAGCTGGATGTAAGACCGAGACTCAGTCTGTGCTGCTCTTCCTAACTCGCTGTAATTGCTGTGGCTGTGTTTCTCAGGCCTAGCCTTTGGAAATCCAGACCTACAAACCTAGCAGGACAAATTCAAGTCCTTGAATCCATCCCAGGATTCTATTCCTAGGCAATAGAAGTTCTTTCTCCCAGTACAGTACAGCCCTGCTTTCCCCTGCCCTCCCCAACAGCAGAAGTTGGAGTCCTCAAGCAGCAGAATTACTTGTGACTTGTTGGTGCTGCTAGGTAACAGGAACCCTGGCTTTCAGCATAGCCCCCTAAACTGTCTGCTTTAATAGAGTGATTATAAATGAGTTCTTCAACAAATCTTCATTTCAGTTGCCCACTAACTCTTGCAAAGCACTTTACAGTATACAAAGCCCTATTTCATATCCATTTGCTTTTAGTTATTTTCAGTAACTGTGAAATAACAATGCCAAACATTATTGTTATTTCTCTTTCCATAGAAGAGGAAACAGTATTCAGAAACCAAATTACTGTGGTCCTAGTAGTGTGCTTTGTGCTAATCTGTGTGTTTAAGGCTCTGTAAACCTACTTCCCCAAGTAATGATTGAGGAGCTTTTATTTACATATCACAATGAAACATACTGCAAGGAAAACCAGTGACTGTAGACACCAAAGTCAAAGGTATATTGTTAACATTCCTTTTAATGGTAAGATATAAAGGTAAGACTTGATGGAAATACAGACAGATAAATAAGAATCACATTTTAGGGTAAATACAAAGGGCTCAATATCAGACAGAAGAGCTTCAGTTGGAGTAGGGAACCATTGTGACTCTCGTGAGCAGTAATGACTATATTTTAGGAAGATAAGTTTGGCAAAAATCAACAAAGTAGTTTATAGTGGGAGAGAGACAACTCAAGAAATCTAGCTAGGAGTTTAAATCAGCATCTTTCAATATCCAACATGGATTCAAATTACTGGAGAATGGCGTTAAAATGTGATGACTGGGTAGATCTGGGTGGGACCTACAATCCTCCACTGCTCACCAAATGCCAGGTACCATGTCCAGAGCACTAGCCTGCATTCCTTCTGACTCTCAAGGGTTCTATTAATCCAAGCATTGAGTAGTGGGGAAGTGGACGAGGAAGCAACCATGAATTGGACTCCCCACGTGGAATCTCAAAGTGGCATTGATATCACCTAAGTACTAGTCAGAAATGCAAATGCTTGGGTTGCACTCTTGACCTATGGAATCAAGTGGTGGCACAATTGAACCTATGGAAATTCTGGGCTGGGTACAATCTGTGCTTTAGCAAGTTCTCCAGGGGTCCCTTATGGACATTCAAGTTTGAGCTCACTATGCTAAAATAATTTGGGGGTCACCAAGTGGTCAGTTTTAGTTTGCAGAGTAGTACTTGGTCTCTATAACTGGGCATCCTAAGATACCTTTTGTGATGTGGTTTAAGACATTTCTGAAAAGAATTCAGTTCCACAACAATATGAGTGTACCTCATGCCTCTGCACACTTAACTATATAGCATAAAAATGATTGAGATTGCACATTTTATCTTATATCTACCTTACCACATTTTTAATAACCATGTGAAACTAAGACCAAGCCCCCCCACACACACACACACACTGCTTTCAGAGAACTGCTTACTGCTAACAGAGCTAAATAGATCTTATATGGGGATTGCTTCTTTCCCACCAGAATATCCACCTGGTTGCCAAGTGGCTCAGCACCCTGGAGAAGAAGCTGGAGGAACACAGCGAGAACAGCCACCCAGAGTTCAGGGTCTTCATCAGTGCTGAGCCTGCACCCTCCCCTGAGGGTCACATCATCCCTCAGGGAATTCTGGAGAACTCCATTAAGATCACCAATGAGCCCCCCACGGGTATGCATGCCAACCTGCACAAAGCCCTGGACAATTTCACTCAGGTACTGCCTGGGGGGGAAGGGAAGTGGAAACCTGCACCTCACATAGAGCTGCTTCAAACTGGTATCTGGATGTGGGTGGGACACCAGGTGGGCTATACCACAGTGCTGATAGAGGTGAAATATGCTCACTGTGCAGCTGACCTCTACCCAGTGTCCACTTGGTGCAGCCCAACCCCCACTTACTAGAGGCAGCTGTAGGAATCAAGTGTAGGCCCTTTTTTGGCAAGAGATGCTCAGGAACTTTCTGTAAGTCTACTGTTAACTAATATTCCACGATGGAGAAGGGCATATGGCTATAAGACTAATTGACATGACATACCCAGTCACATATTTATTGGCTAAGCAGCCTGTCTTTAAGCATGGGGATGATGCTTTCTTTCTGATGGTATTACCTGCTATTTATGTGAATCTTGAGTACCAAGGGGTCAAATTATCCAGGCTCAGGTCCTGGGAAATGGGAACGTGCACAAGATTTCTCTGTTTTGAGCTTAAAAGCAAATGGGGAACATGTGGCAGTCAGTCTCCAAAGATTTTGTGGACTTCATGATGCCTGCACAGCCCAACTCAGAGTGGGAAGCATTTGCTTCTAGAAGATTCTAGAAGCAAAAGGGTAGTCCAGTATCCTTTTTTCCACTACCCTTTGGAACCTGACTCTAAAATCCATGCTATATGATAAATCTGTATATCTTTTTTTTTTTTTTTTTTTTTTTTGCGGAACCAGGGATTGAACTCAGGCCTTTGTGCTTGCCAGGGAAGCACTTATTCCACTGAGCCACCTCCCCACTGTATATCATTTAGAACACAGAATGGGGGACTGTCGCCAAGAGATTCAAGATATTTTGGCTTGAAGTTTTTGTTAAGAAACATCCTGTGTTGAGCTTAATCTTACTATCTGTCTGAATATCAAACATCTTAGGCATAACATGGAATAGCTCAACAGCTTAGGTTGTATGGTAATAGCAATAAGCTTCTCTTCTGGAGGGTTAACAACCTAAGTTTGCAGACCAAAAATTAGAGAAAAAGGTGGGCTGCAAGGACGGCCAACATTTTGGCCCTAGCCTTCCAAGGTCAGTGAAGACTCAGGACATAGGAGAACCTGTACTGTAATATCATGTAACTCAATTGTGTCCCAAATTTTCTGATCAAGGACATTATGGGGCCACAGAGGAAAGTGATTGATGATGTAGGGTGTGCCTAAGGAGAGTCACATGGAGAGAAAACATTCTCTCAGGCTTTCACAAGAGAGCACATTGGTCAAGCAATGGCAGTGACTCATCTACATGGCTGGCACTAACAAAGGCTCTATGAACTGTGGTACAGGGTTTCAGGATAAATCCTGAGGGGATATGACTGACCTTATCAGATACAGAAGCTACAATTCTTGTTATATTGGTCTTGCTTTATCTTGGTCCTAATCATCCAGCAGAAAAGTATAAAAACGAGGTATAAAAAGTAAAGCCATATTAATATGCTGAGCTGTAAAAGTCTCAAGTCAACAACTTCTGACATTGCCAGTCATATGGAAAACCCACTACTATTATGGATTACTGGACTATTTTGGAATATCTTGCTGAATTCACATACCTATAAAACTTAAATGACAAAACTAAACAAAAAAAGGGGATATAAATGAATGACCATTTTGTATCTGTATATTTAAAATAGGTAGGATATATATGCAGCTACATTCTCTTAATTCAATGAATAGAAAGATTTGTTCTAAAAGTGTTTGTAAACAGGGTATCATTCTGCATCTTGTACAATGAATAACCACTAAGAAAACAATATGCAATGTATTAATTATTGAAACTGTCCTACTAATTTTATTTGAAAATGTCTCATTGCTATTTGTTTCTCAATAAAATTATGGGGAAAAAAAAGAAAAGAAGCATCCTGTCTTTGCATCACAAGAAAAAAGGGGGCGTGCTCCCCTGTCTGGGGGCATCTCCTTTTCTTTCTTTTTTCTGTCTCCCCAGTTGGCCTTCATGAACCTCCAGGTATTCTGAACCAGAGTACAAAGGTGAAAACATAAATTTCCTAACTTTTATATTTTATGTAGGAAAAACACATATACTTAAGCTTTACATTTATAGCCTTCCTTCCAGGAGGCCTCAGCAGAGAAAGTTCTGCCCTAAAAGGCCTTGGGAGGTGATTTCATGTTCCTGTATTCCCACATAGGCTGACGTGTTCCGTGAAGCAGAAGCATCTTAAGTTCTACAACAGCCTGGGTAACTTAGCAAGACCTTGTTTCAAAATAATTTTTTAAAAAGATAGGGCTAAAAAAAATAAAAAATAAAAAGATAGGGCTGTAACTTGGTGATTAAGCACCCCTAGATTCAACTCTCAGCACTATAAAAGTAACCAACCAAACAAAGCATTGGGTCACACAACAATGTAAGTGCACATAATGTCACTAAACTGTACACCTAAAATGGTGATAATAGTAAATGTTATATCATGAGTATTTCAATACAATTTTTTTTAATTGAAAGGGGGATAAAAAGCATTAGGATGCTGTAAGGGAATGCCACAGAAAACACCCATGGCAAACCAACCATTCTCAGTGGCCCACCATCGAGGGCCCCAGGCAGAGGCAGGAAGGAGTAGCAGAGGCTTCACAGATCCTGTTCCCATCTTAGCATAGGATTGTTGTCTATAGCCACAACTGGCTTCACTGTCTCGGCAACCCATGAGCTGATGTTCTTGAGCTCTTTTCCATGCAAATCTTGATCCCTGGGCAACCGGGAAACATATCTCAAGAAATGCAGTCCCTTTCTAGTTGTCCCATCCCTACCACAGATGGTTTCTCTCACCATTTATGGCCACCCCCAGTGATTCCTTCTGAGAAAGGTAGATAGATGAAAGTATTTCTGGTTTGCAAAAGTTTTCATTAGAGGATGTTTGCAATACTTAATAATTACATTCTTCTTGGAGAACTGGAACACATTCAACATATGCATAGCACATCTTAAGCATTTTTGCTCCCCTTCCTTCCTCTCCCTCCAATTCTCAGCTTCTCTTCTCTTAACATAGGCTACCTTCCTGATCCTACAAGAGCTTGCCTTGCCCTATTCTGATTTCATGAGTTCCCCAGAGCAGAGGCCTTCACGGCATTCCCTCTGCCCCTTCAGCCCCATTTTTACCCTTGAAAGGATAAATTGCAGAACGGATCTCCTTTTAATTACTGCTTCCATGATAGCTGTGCTGTTCAGAGATGATTATTTTATTCTGACTTTCATGTGAGCACATCACTGTCAGCCAGTGTTGGCATTTTAATGTAAAATTTCTTGTCTTTATGCTTAAAGGCATTTTTCAGCGGGATCCAGTTTTTTAGAATGTGTAGGAAATAACAAATGAAGCATCCCACTTGCCTGTAGAGAAAAGCTCTATCCAGGAAACAGTTATTAAATTCTTGGCTGAGAAGACAATGGCTTTGTCCTCTGCCCATTCATACCCAACCCTTTGTAGCAAGTGTGGTATCCAGGGAAGGCATTCCTGGGACCCCTCTCGTAAGCCAGAGAGAGAGACTATGCCCTGGGCTCCCTGTGGGAAAGCCAGGCTTGCCAGAAGCTCACTCTGTCCCATCTCCTCTGGTGTTACTGCCCATGCAAGTCGTCAGAGGCCAATTCCTAGAACAAATGCTGGGAACTCCCATTTAGTGGGATCTCTAAGGGTGCTTCTCCAACTGCCACACCCTACTTCATCCTGGACAGAAAGTCTCATCCACAGGGAATTATTTTTCATTCCAAAGAATCCAGAAGCTCCCAGCCTATTATTCCTTTAAAATGCAGGCTGTTGTGCTCTGTGCCATCACCACCACTGCCCCTAACATCCGCCAAGCACCAGACCTTAAGCTTCTTCTTTCTTCTGTCTGTCCCTTCTTTGATCCCTTCTGGAGGAGCGTATCTCCCTCCCGCCCCACGCTCTGCAATTGGAAGCCACCCTGGGCTCTTGTTTCCTCAGTCCAGTGTCTCCTTACCCCTGCTCAGGTTGTGGGGAGAGGTGGGAGTGTGGGGGGCACGCCCTCCTCTATTTCTGTGGCTCTGCCTCATTTCAGCAGCTCCTCCAGCAGATGAGCCAGTGAGTGACTCCTTGTCACGTGGACCGTAATTATACCACTGAGGTTCCATAACTAACAAGAGATGCAGGCAACAAGGGAAGGTTTTGAGATGGGACTATGAGAGTCCCTACCCACACCCTGAGCACAGTGACACAAACAGAACTCTACGTTCCTATGACCCAGTGCCCTGTTTTCCTTAGCTATGCTAGGGAAACTAATTAGTACATCCACATGTACAAACTCAAACCATAAACCAAATCCATTATAATCTAAATCGAAACCTTAAAATGTTAAAAACATTACATCATAATGATACATTCATACCTATATTATGACTTGCAGCACAAGTCATAATTAATTAAATTTTTGGAGCAGCCTATATATCCAACCACAAATGAGTGGATAAAGAACATGCAGTATTTGTACACGCTGGAGTAGTACGCTGCCATCAAAAAGATAAACATGAGGCATTCACAGGAAAACGGACGCATCTTGAGACCACAATGTTCAGTGAAATAAATAAACATATAAGCTTAAATACTGCATATGTTCTCTCATATAAGAAGCTTAAAATATAAATATCATACAAAATAAAAGGCAATTGGAAACAGGGAGGGGCCGGGGAGATGGCTCCGTGGAATAAGCGCTTCCCTGGCAAGCACAAGGGCCTGAGTTCAATCCCTGGTTCCACCAAAAAAAAAAAAAAAAGAAAAAAGAAAAGAAAAGAAAAAAAAGAAAGAAAAAGAAACAGGGAGATCAATCTCTTGAATAAGCACAGTGGAGAGGAGAGAAAAAAATTGAGAAAGAAGTAAGATACATGTACCAACTCTTTATGATGAATGTAACCCTTATGTGCTGCAAACATATACCAATAAAAATAAATAGTTTTTAAAAAACTTAACTCAAATGTCCCTCCCTCACACCACCAAGCCTTGGTATAATCTTCAGTGTCACTGTAGTTCAAAGGCTAAGAACGGCAGACAGTGACTTTATTCAACATGAACACCAGTTGTAACTTCACCTGATTGCCCTGGAAAAGGGGAGATTCCACTGTCACTTCATACGATGCTTTTGTTTTTCTTTCAGGATACTCTGGACATGTGTTCCAAAGAGACAGAGTTTAAGAGCATCCTCTTTGCTCTTTGTTACTTCCACGCAGTGGTGGCAGAGAGACGAAAGTTTGGGCCCCAGGGATGGAATCGATCCTACCCCTTCAACAGCGGGGACCTCACCATCTCTGTGAATGTGCTCTACAATTTCCTGGAGGCCAATCCAAAGGTAAAAGGAAGGAGTGCCGGCCTGCTCTCAGGATGATGAGGCATTCCATCCAGATCAGGGTGTGTGTCGCAGAAAAGTTACATCCTACAGAGGCAGAATGTGGAGGTTCCTGCCAAGCCCAGTCCCACCTGAGGCCGAGAAATTTGCATGGAGGTCACAGCTAGGGAAACTCAGGAATCCAAATTAGTGGATTCATAGTCAGTGTGAATGAGTCCCGTGAGAATTTGTCCCACTGCCCCCAGGGAACCTATGTATTCACAGGATGACAGGTAGGCTGAAGATTAGCAGGAAGAGGTCTCACATTCCTGGATGTAAATTCCAAATTTTACTAGACACGGGTGTAGAACTTCTGTTGGGACTCACAGTGTGGTGCCTGGGGTATGAAAGTTTTTTCCAAAGTTGGAAAAAATTTTTTGCCATATCCCTTCTTCCTTTTGTAACTCCATTTCAGACAAAATCGGTGCTATGAGCACACTTCCATTTAAAAGAGTGTTCACATCGTCCAGGCTCTTCTAGTTCTTGGGCCAAAAATTGTGTCAGCAGGGACACACATTTCCTGGTGGGGAAAATCAGTAAGATCCACATGCCCTGAAAAACTCTTACTTCTCCAGCTCTGGAGTTCTGGGAAGCTACCCCTTATTTTGTTTGTTGATTTGACCCAAAAGGGTTCCCTCCCCTAAATCTTCCCTGCAGTGAACTATTGAACCATAATTCATCCAGTCTGAATTTTCAAAGTAGGCAATTAATTAGTCTTGTCACTAGTAGCAGAAAATCAGAAAAGTATTCCGGTCCCAACTTTTCTCCATCTGACACTTGCCTATTTCAACAACTTCTAGCAAGAGCCAGACTTCATGGTCACAGTTAGTGGCCATGAAAGAACCCTCACGCGTGTGAGGATTCCAGCACTTCCTTCTCCCCACTGTGTGCTGTAATTTTCTTTTAAGTATTTAATGAGCTCCCAAAACATGTCTCTCCTGCCAAAAACTGATGGTATAAAGATAAGACACTGCCCCTGATCTCAGACCCATCCCAACTGCGACTCATGCTCTGCCTGCCCACCAAGTCAGCTGCACTGCCACATGGAGATCCTCCTATAGCCTCTGTCCCCTCTCTCAGGTGCCCTACGATGACTTGCGCTACCTGTTTGGTGAGATCATGTATGGAGGCCATATCACAGATGACTGGGACAGGAGGCTCTGCAGAACTTATCTGGAAGAATTCATTAAACCAGAAATGTTAGAAGGGGAGCTGTCCCTGGCCCCAGGGTTCCCACACCCAGGCAACATGGACTACAATGGTTATCATCAGGTGAGGCTCCGTCCTGTGCTGAAATGAATGGCGTGATGACACCAGCGCACAAGGAACCCAGGCGTTCCTCCCAACACCCCGCACACCCAGGGTGTTCATGCTGCAACACACCTATGGGCTGCAGACAGGGCCCTGGGAAGAATCATCTGAAGAGCTGAGTTTCTGTCAACTGTGGTTTTCTTTTTTTTTTTTTTTTTTTTTTGCGGAACCAGGGATTGAACTCAGGCCCTTGCGCTTGCCAGGGAAGCGCTTATTCCACTGAGCCATCTCCCCAGCCCCCAGCTGTGGTTTCCTGTAGAAATTTTTCCTGTTTGACTTGGAAGACAGAATTTGTATCCTCAAATTAATGACAAAATCAAAGTTATAGAGATTGTTTTATTCTTAATGTTTGAATAATTCTGTTTGTCACTGTTTTCTACAAACACAGTCATTTGATTGTTTCTACTCAGGATACTGACAAAATCATTATTTGTGGAGAAAATTTCAGATAAGTATTTAATTAACTTTGGTAAAGTTGGTATCAGTGATTGTACATAACTTCGGAGAGAATGATCATGTGGCCAGATCACTCAGCCCTCCTACTCCATTAGTGACTATGAACACAGTCACACAGGTCTACATACAGAAAAAGAAAAATTATTCTTGGCAGGGAGAGTAATGTGCATCTCTAATCCCAGCAATTCAGGAAGCTGAGGTAGGAGGGTCCCAAGTTACAAGCCAGCTCCAGCAACTTATCTGTCCCAAAATAAAAATAAAAAAGGGCTGGAGTATAGCTCTGTGGTGGACAGTTTGCACAGCATGCCAAAGGCCTGAGTTCAAGCTTCAGTACAAGAAAGAAAGAGAG